GAAGGAACATTCCTCAATATAATCATAGCAATTTATGTAAAACCCTTGGCCAGCATCCTGTTGAATGGGAAAAGTTGGAAGCATTTCCCCTGAGATCTGGTACCAGACAGGGATGCCCACTCTCACCACTGCTATTTAACATAGTTCTGGAAGTTTTAGCCAGAGCCATCAGAGAAGAAAAAGAAATTAAAGGAATACAAATTGAGAAGGAAGAAGTCAAACTATCCCTCTTTGCAGACGATATGATTCTTTACTTAGAGGATCCAAAGAACTCTACTAAGAGACTATTGGAACTCATAGAGGAGTTTGGCAAAATGGCAGGATATAAAATCGATGCACAAAAATCAACAGCCTTTGTATACACAAGCAATGCCACAGCTGAGAAAGAACTGATAAGATTAATCCCATTCACAATAGCTACAAAAACAATCAAATACCTTGGAATAAACTTAACAAAGGACGTTCAAGATCTCTACGATGAAAATTACAAAATCTTAAAGAAAGAAATAGAAGAGGATACCAAAAAATGGAAAAATCTTCCATGCTCATGGATTGGAAGAATCAACATCATCAAAATGACCTTTCTCCCAAAAGCAATTTATAGATTCAATGCCATCCCAATGAAGATACCAAAGACAATCTTCTCAGATGTAGAAAAAAAAGATGCTGAAATTCATATGGAGGCACAAGAGACCTCGAATAGCTAAAGCAATCTTGTACAACAAAAACAAATCCGGAGGCATCACAATACCAGATTTCAGGACATACTACAGGGCAGTTGTAATCAAAACAGCATGGTACTGGTACAGAAACAGATGGATAGACCAATGGAACAGAATTGAAACATCAGAAATCAACACAAACATCTACAGCCAACTTTTATTTGATCAAGGATCTAAAACCAATTCCTGGAGCAAGGACAGTCTATTCAATAAATGGTGCTGGGAAACTGGATTTCCACGTGCAGAAGCATGAAGCAAGACCCCTACCTTACACCTTACACAAAAATCCACTCAACATGGATTAAAGACCTAAATCTACAACCTGACACCATCAAGTTATTAGTGAACTTTGGATAAACCCTTCAAGATATTGGCACCGGCAAAGCCTTCCTGGAAAAGACCCGGGAGGCACAGGCAGTCAAAGCCAAAATCAACTATTGGGATTGCATCAAATTGAGAAGTTTCTGTACTGCAAAAGAAACAGTCAGGAGAGTGAAGAGACAACTGACAGAATGGAAAAAAAATATTTGCAAACTATGCAACTGATAAAGGGTTAATAACCAGAATCTACAAAGAGATCAAGAAACTCCACAAAAATAAACAACCCAATTAAGAGATGGGCCAAGGACCTCAGTAGACATTTTTCAAAAGAGGAAAATCAAATGGCCAACAGGTACATGAAAAAATGTTCAAGATCACTAGCAATCAGGGAAATGCAAATCAAAACCACAATGAGGTTTCACCTCACCCCGGTTAGAATGGCTCACATTCAGAAATCTACCAACAACAGATGCTGGCGAGGATGTGGGGAAAAAGGGACACTAACCCACTGTTGGTGGGAATGCAAACTGGTAAAGCCCCTATGGAAGTCAGTCTGGAGATTCCTCAGAAACCTGAAGATAACCCTACTGTTCAACCCAGCCATCCCACTCCTTGGAATTTACCCAAAGGAATTTAAATTGGCAAACAAAAAAGCGGTCTGCACCCTAGTGTTTATTGCAGCTCAATTCACAATAGCTAAGACCTGGAACCGACCTAAATGCCCATCAATGGTAGACTGGATAAAGAAATTATGGGATATGTACTCTTTAGAATACTATACCGCAGTAAGAAACAACGAAATCCAGTCATTTGCAACAAAATGGAGGAATCTGGAACACATCATGCTGAGTGAAATAAGCCAGTACCAAAGGGACAAATATCATATGTTCTCCCTGATTGGTGACAACTGACTGAACACCAAAAAGGAAACCTGTTGAAGTGAAATGGACACTATGAGAAACGGTGACTTGATCAGCATAGCCCTGTTAATGAACAACATAATACGTTATCCCTCTTAGTATTTTTTTGTCTGTTCTACTTAATACTACTGGTTTAATTTTGTAATTATCACACAGTTATTCTTAAGTATTGAAATTTAACTGGAATGTGATCCCTGTTAAACATAAGAGTGGGGATAAGCGAGGGAAAAGATGTACAATTTGGGACATGCTCAAGCTGACTTGCCCCAAATGGTAGAGTTAGAAACATACCAGGGGATTCCAATTCAATCCCATCAAGGTGGCATGCACCAATGCCATCTCACTAGTCCAAGTCATCAATTTCTGTTCACAATTCATCATAATGAAAGGATTAAGAGTGAAAGGGATCACATAATCAAGTCTAGTGCCTGCTAATACTAACGGATAGAATAAATAAAGGGGAGAGTGATCCAACATGGGAAGTGAGATACACAGCAGACCCATAGAATGGCGGATGTCCTAAATAGCACTCTGGCCTCAGAATCAGCCCTAAAGGCATTCGGATCTGGCTGAAAAGCACATGAGAGTATTTCAGGCATGGAAAGCCAAGACACTCTGGCAAAAAAAAAAAAAGGACCTAAATGAAAAATCTCTGTGAGTGAGATCCCAGTGGAAAGAACAGGTCTTCAAAGAAGGAGGTACCTTTCTCTGAAGGGAGGAGAGAACCTCCACTTTGACTATGACCTTGTCTAAACAAGATAATAGTCGGAGAACTCAGAGGGCTTCCATAGCCTTGGAAACTCATGACTGGAGCATAGGGAGATTACTGATGCCATAAACAGGAGTGTCAATTGGTAAAGTCAACAACAGGAGTCACTGTGCACTTACTCCTCATGTAGGATCTCAGTCCTTAATGTGCTGTACATTGAGATTTAAAGCTATAACTAGTACTCAAACAGTATTTTTCACTTTGTGTTTCTATGGGGGTGCAAACTGTTGAAATCTTTACTTAATGTATACTAAACTGATATTCTGTATATAAAGAAAATTGAAAATGATTCTTGATAAGAATGGAAGGGGAGAGATAGTGGGAAAGGGGAGAGTTGCAGGTGGGAGGGAAGTCATTGGGGGGGGGGAGCCAATGTAATCCATAAGCTGTACTTTGGAAATCTATATTAAATAAAAGTTAAAAAGAAGTGGAGGGTACTACAAATCCTTGGCCCAGATGTGGTATTAAATTATGTAACCTAACAAATCATAAAACTAACAATGTCATCTGCTGATCTTTATTCCACACAGTAGATATGAAAGGACTAGGGGAGATTATTAATTTTTAGATATATGTCTAAAATATCCTTGTCTAATATGTTGCATAGATATCCAAAAATTTTTTTTTTGACAGGCAGAGCTAGACAGAGACAGACAGAGAGAAAGGTCTTCCTTTCCATTGGTTCACCCCCCACATGGCTGCCATGGCTGGTGCGCTGCACTAATCTGAAGCCAGGAGCCAGGTGCTTCCTCCTGGTCTCCCATACGGGTGCAGGGCCCAAGCACTTGGGCCATCCTCCACTGTCTTCCCGGGCCACAGCAGAGAGCTGGGCTGGAAGAGGAGCAACTGGGACTGAATCCAGCGCCCCAACTGGGACTAGAACCTGGGGTGCCTGTGCTGCAGGCAGAGGATTAGCCAAGTGAGCCGTGGCACTGGCGTCCATATCCAAAAATTTAAAACAGCATATTTCAACAGCTAATAACCTTTCATAAGTGCGAGGACAAGTACAACATATAGTTACAAGGATGTAGGTCCCTTTAATGTTATAATATACTTGACAATTAGAGATAAGCAGCATGAAAGAACTCTGTGGTACTACTGGATTATAGCAAGAGATGTCTATTTAGATAGGGAGACATAGAGATATTTGTGCAAATGTATATTCTCTAGTTCTGACTGCCTAGATGAACTAATAGTAGTGATGTCCCAGCAGCAATGAGCATACTCAGCATACTCAGATCTTGGATTATAGTAGCACTCCCTGATAAAAAGTTTGTTGGATAAATGTCTAATTCTACATACAGGGTAGAAAAAGTATCAGATGAAATTAAGACTAATTTACAGAAATAGTAATTTAAAAAAATAGCACATTATCAAAGGGATAAAAGAATCAATCTAATAATAGAGTTCCAAATGGCCAAAGCTGGAACAATTAACAAGAATGTGAGTATTTTAGTCTTTAATTAAAATACACAATGTAACTTTACACTGATGCAAATAGTTAGTCAAGGAAATAAATGAAGGGGAAAACTATTCTAAGAGCAGAATGTCAAGGCAGAACATGTGCATTCCTTGCAGGAGGTGAAGACTCATCCAGTCACCCCCACTCCTTTGAGTGTGGGCTAGATTTAGCAATTCCCATCCAAGGGCAATGGAAATGAGTGGGTGGCAACTTTAGAGTCCTGGAAAATGTGACCTCAACCAAAGGATCACGTTTAACATCATTAATTACCAACAAGTCCTAACAAGACATCGTAACAATGTGGCATTCTTTTAAAAACTTATAAACAAGAGATAGTCATGAAAAAAACAGCAGAAAACCCCAGCTTCAGGGATATTATGAAAGTACAAGATTGCTTTTCTCAAACCTTCCAGTAATAAATTACTAGGACTGGTCCAGTAATCTGAACAGAGCAGAGGCTACCAGGGAAACATGACTAAATACAACATGGCATTCCGGAAGGAATCCTGGAAGAAGTGATGAAATACAAGTCAGGTCTAACGTTTACTTAACTGGAAGTGCTAATGATGATTTATGAGTTGTGTCAGATGTACCACAGTGATATAAGGTGTTAACATCAAGAGAAATTGAGTGTGGTGTACATGAGTATTTTCTGTATTATCTTTGCCATTTTTCTGCAAATAGAAGTAGATTCCAGAATAAAAACATTACCTTAAAATTGCAACTGCGAACAGTTTACAGTTTATTTACAAGGTTTGAAGTTAATTCCAACTTTTTCTTTGAAGTATGTCTATTTTGTTCCTTAGGTGCTTCCAAAGTCAGTAAGACTCCTCACTAACAGCACGTCTGCATCTTTTGCCTGCAAACTGCTACTCATGCATGGCTCCAGGTCTGGTGAAAATTCCCTCCTTAAAACTGTTTCTTAAAACTGGAAATGCAGAGGACTGCCCTAAAGCCTATTTCTTGTCAATAGAGCAAGAGTCTCTGCCATAAAGGTTTGAACAAAATGATCTACTCTGTAAAGATTACCAAACCCACTCAATTTGTCCTCAAAGAGGAAATGTCTACTTAGTGTTTGATTTCCATCTTCATTCTTTTAAAATATCAGTTGATATATATGTATTTCCCTTTGTCTCCCTCAGTTAAATATCTCCATATTTAGCTGAAAATATTTTAATATGCTACTGTTTCTCCACAAACATTATCATATCTCAAATAATGACATTTTCCTGGGTTGTAAGGTACAATAATAACTTGGTCTCAGATGTTTATTAAAAAATAGATAAAACTTAATTTTCCTTCCAGCTTCACTCTAGATTATTTGCATTACAATTCAGAATCACTAATTATGCCACCTCGAAATTTTTTTGGAAAATCATCCCAAATACTATGCCATTTAATGAAATTCTCCTTAAAACCTATTTTCAGCCAAATCTTGGGAAATTTAAATATAGCATATTAAAAGATACAAAGGTATTTCCAATGTCACAGAATTATTTCAGAAACTATTGACTAGACTCCGGTTTTCACCATATGGCCCTTAATAAAACACAATTATAAAAGTACGTACATAAGTAGGTAAGCAAGTAAATCACTTAAGACTCCATCTACTAGGACTTTTCCTATTTTCTGATTACAGCAGTCTGCGTCTGGTTCACAGTTCTATTTGCAATGAGACTGGATTATCATTGTGCTTAGGATTCTGCGAGGCATGAATCTATCGATGTGTAAACAGCAAAAAACACAACTCATAGTTTTCTGATGAGATGAGCAAATTGTACATTTCTTCCAAGGCACATTGGGAGGAACTTGCATACATCAGGGTCACGACTCAAGAGAATAAAGGGGCTGATAGATGGGAAACATGCATTGATTAAGGCAGAGGTGTTCACCAGCCACCAGGCTGACTTAGCAAAAAAAGAAAACAACAGGTAAATGATGGAAGACAGGGCATTAAAAAAGACAAAGGTGCTCACCAGGACAAGGATGCTATGGGTAGCTCTGGTCTCAGGAGAAGATCGACGTGAGATGTTGTTCCTATGAATGTGTCTGACTTGGTGCTTGTGCCTATACAGAAGGAAAACCATGGCACCACTGGCCCACATCATGAGTCCCAAACACAAAACATCAGGAGTGGATATGAACGCTGAATATAGTAAGTCTCTGTTTCTGTCATGATTGCTAGAGGAACAGTATCCAAAACCTATGGTTGTTGTGCTATTTTCTTCACTCCTTTTTTCAGTCACAAACATAGGAACCACGGTGTTTATCAGCATGTACAGGATCCAACAGAAGACACTGGAGGGGCCAGTGTACCTGACAGCTTTTACTTTAAGCTCTGCACATCTGGAGTTCCTGGGGCTAATTGTGATGGCCTGAAAGACACTCAAGAGACAAGTGTTGCCGATGGATGCACCCCTGCTCACCCTATGAACATAGAAAACAAGTTTGCATCCAGCATCATTAAGAAAATGTTTCATCCCAAAAGCTGCCATGGTCTCTGGGATTCCTCTTGAGAGAATGACCAAGGAGTTGGCCACTGTCAAGTGCCTGAGGATCAAATCTGTGGACCTTGACCTGTGTCCACTGATATACAGGAAAAAGTAGCGACTTAGGAGGGAGAAATTCCCCAGGGTTCCAATGACAACCTGAGCCAGGAAGATAATCCCAATGTTTAAACTCATAGAGGCATTCTATTAAGTTTTTCAGGACACAACAGTTACATTCACAAATACAGGATTCTGCATGGAAATATAAGTTGTGGACTATTGTTATTATGGAAAATCAAAATCTCTTTCTACTATTACTTCATCCTGAGAATATATTTTAAATATAAATTTACTTTAGTTAAAATGTTTATAAAATGTTATACATGTGTTAATAGTGGACTTAAAATGCATGAGCCACCTTTATTAAAGCTTATTTAATATTGGCAACTATGAGTTAACACCTAACATTATTTTCCTTTATCAAAGGAAGAGAATTTATATGAAAGGAGACTGAGATTAATTGGTAGAGTCAGGACTAGACCCTGGAGAATCTGGATGCAATGACATTGGTGTTTACCACTGCGCTCTTATATAGGAGCTTTGTTTGAGCCCTTTAAATATTCCAAGTCGATATATAAATTGCCATATTTCAAACTTGTTTTAATTTCTACATTCAATTATGCTAACATCAATCATATAAACATTTATCATACATTTATCATATTTATTCATCACAAATTCACAATAAGAATAAATATTCTAAAGACTTCATAAAATGTTTACTAAAAATATTTTTCTATTATCACACTCGATTTACAGAATATGTGTCAATATGAGTACTGAGATAACAACAGAAAGAATCATATCATTTATTTTCCTAGGTGCATCCAACACGTAATTTTTAAAATGATACTGTTTACACTCCACAGTGGTACTTGAAATTTAAATAATCAAAATAGGAGAAACACAAGAAATGCCATGAAAATGACATGAAAATTTTATAAATCAGAGAAAGCATCTTCACACTTTTTAACCTGAAAAGAGCTTCAGTCCTTAATTTCTTCTATTGTCTGAATTTCTCAAACATGAAGTTAATTTTCCTTAAAGCATCCTTTCCTAACACGAAGGAAGAAAACAGCCCCAGCAAGATCAATGGTACATGGGTATTTTCAGGGAGATTTTATTAGAATCTCCTTTAGGTACAGCAAATATAACTGAGATAAATATGATGACACGCCAGCACATCTACCCAGTCACACTGCTCATACAAAGATGGGTGATTCAAAGAGCTTCAACCAACCCACTATCACATTCACAAAAATTTTTACAGAAATAACTATTTCAACTATGAAAACATTTCTGCAGTTCTGTAGAGAAGGTCAGATGGGAAATTGATTTCTGAATTACAGCCTTAATCATCATAAAAATCAGACTTTATGACTGCCTTGGGCAAATTTCAACAATCACTATCACTGAGGATATTATTAACACAGATCTGGAACATTAAGAGATCGGTGTAGCGTCTCAGACCCCTCTCTCCACAGCTCAGCCATTTCTCAGGACTTGTTCTTCCTTGCTCTGTGGGTTTGTGCTGAACCAATCTCTCACCTAGAAATTCCCCTTCCCAGACATGAGCACTTACCCAGAACCTGATTCACCTCTTTCTAATCTTTCAGAATCAAATTTCACGAACTCAGCCAAGCTTCTCTTTTCTACACCAAAGTGGTGAATCCAGTGTGAGCAGTCAGGAAGGTGTGTATGAAAGAGGCGTCCAGAACCCAGGATATAGGCTTCTCAGGACTCTGTGACCTCAACTCCCCACAGAACCACAATCACCAATTCCCTTGTAGTTTCAATGACATTGAACAGCAGAGAGCTTAAGACTTTCTCCCAGCTCTCAATTCCCAAGTGGACTACATGTTTCTAGTGAGTATCCCCAAACAGACAGGACGAGCACTTGGGAATAGCTCTCCTTTCTCCATGACACCTGGATCAGCATGTGGTGAAGTAAAGAACACTCAGATGTGACAGATGTGAAGAACGGGTATTTAACCAGATCCCGTGCTTGTCCAGGAAGTTCACTGTCCTCAACATGTACTTATTTGTTTATGCTCAGCCCCAGGACTGGCAAAATCTGAAAGATTATGTGCATGGACAAGGATGGACACAAAGGATCTGAGCAGGACTTCTCAGTTGAGAGAAAGGAGAATATGATACAAGGACCACACACCAGAAACCACTAGGGGTGACTCAGCAGAAACAGAAAAGGCCACCTGACATGGATATTTTCTAGGAATATGTCTTTCACTAATATTTACTCCAAAAGAAATCAAATGCTGAACTAAACAATGTCCAACAGTATTTATGAAAGGGTTACCTCTCAAAGACAGCACTAAGCAATACGATTTATCTTACAGCCTCTTCATAGGAAACCCTTCCAACTTAGGCCACTCAAAGTACTGAAGAGTAATAGCTTACCAAAATCTTACAAAAACTTCTATATACAGAACAATCTCCTGTATATCTAGGGGTCCAAGTTATGAAATAGAATACTTACAAAATCTTACAAATAAAAGATTACTGGATGATCAATTGGAGCTTATACTGGGAATTCCATGTTTTTTTTTAGAAACTTCATTAAATAATCTTGTTCAAAAGTTAAGGAAAAAAACAGATGATCATGTTGACTGATGAAGAGATTTGGCAGTTTCTGCAGGTGATAATGATAAAAAAAACATATTAATGACATCAACCTGATAAAACAATGTCACCAAGGTTTAAATATGTTTCTCAGCTATATAAAAATAGGTTAATTTCCACTAATGTCAGAAAGATTATTAAGTGGCCATAACACATCAAATGTTAGATCACCTTATTGGGACATTAGAGAAAGAAATTAACCAGTCTATAAAGGAGTAAATCCACCACAGTTTACAAGGGTATGAAGGTATTTGAAAAGCTCAAAGTATTAATTAAACATCAAAAAAAAGAGAATAAGAGATTAACATTAAGAACACAAGTCTCCACATCTATCCAACCATCCATCTATTTACCAATCATCTAACTATATACTCTAAACCAGATATGACCTATTATGGGAGACAGGGTACAATTAAGAAAAGTATAAGCCTTTGATAAAGCTCTCACTCTTCTATGCATAATAGAAAAAAGAAAAGTATAAGCCAGGAATAAGTCTAGTAAGACAAGTGCAAAATTTACAAGCATTTTCCATACACACTTATTATTTTTTTAAAGATTTATTTATTTATTTGCAATTCAGAGTTACATAGAGAGAGGAGAGGCAAAGAGAGAGAGGTCTTCTATCCGATGGTTCACTCCCCAGATGGCAGCAACGGCAGGAGCTGCGCTGATCCCAAGCCAGGAGCCAGGAGCTTCTTCCAGGTCTTCCACGTGGGTGCAGGGGCCCAAGGACTTGGGCCATCTTCTACTGCTTTCCCAGGCCACAGCAGAGAGCTGGACTGGAAGTGGAACAGCTGGATCTCAAATCAGTGCCCACATGGGATGCTAGCACCCCAGGCCAGGGTGTTAACCCACTGCGCCACAGGGCCAGCCCCTCCATACACACTTATATAACACATTTATTTATGTATAATATACAAACATTTATAGAAATGAAAATAAAATCAGATTCCTGAATTGAAAAGATAAAGCCAATCTTTATAACACATTTTATATTGGAAGTAGAAATTTTATTGAATAAGCAAAATGTACATTCAGGAAAACCCTGAAAAAATGAGTGATGTCAGTCCTATCAGATATGAAGTCACATCACAAACAGTCTAATAAGTAAAATGCTATGATACATCTTGCACTGAGTAAGTTGTGAACTCCCAATGAAAGCTTTGCCACACTCATTACCTCTGTAAGGTTTCTCTCCAGTAGGAATCCTTTCAGGACTCCAAAGGTATGAACACATGGAAAAATCCCTACCATATCCATTATATTTGTCAGGTTTCTTTCCAGTAAGTGTTCTCTTATTTGAGAAAGGTTGGAAGGCTCAGAAAAGGTTTTGCCACACTCAGTATATTTGTAAGGTTTCTCTCCAGTATGAATTCTCGGACAACACCAAAGGTATGGACTTCACAAAATCCTTACCATACACAGAACATGCCCATGGTTTCTCTACAGTGTGGATTTTCTGATGCCTTGTAAGTTTTGAGTGACTGTTAAAGAATTTGCCACACTTATTACATGTGTAACAAATGTCTCTGATCAGAATGAATTCTTTGATGATTAGCTATGACTGAGCATTGGTTAAAAGCCTTCCCACAGACGCTCCTTAGCGTTTTCTCTAACATGTGAATTTTGATGCATAAATAATGAGAAGTGCAGAAAATTATTCCCATACTTGCTAGATACTGGTTTTGATTTATGGCTGAAAGCTTAATCTAGCCCATTTTCCAAATAGTTCATTTACCTGATTTCCTGAATAACCCATTTTCTTGTTCCTTATTCCTCATACATGTTGTGTTAGTAATACTGATTTATACTTTTTACAGAAGCATTTTGCTTTAAAGGGAAATTATTCCAGGTCTTGCTATTTTGCTGATCTCTTCTATCAGAATTTTATTATGGGTTGCAGTCATTCCTTCATCATTTAAAAATTCATGTACCCACTGACTCTCAAACTCATGTGAGGGCTCAGTGCTATGGTACAGTGGGTTAACGCCCTGGCCTGAAGCAATGGCATCCCATATGGGCACCGGTTCGAGACCCGGCTGCTCCACTTCCTATCCAGCTCTCTGCTATTGCCTGGGAAAGCAGTAGAAGATGGCCCAAGTCCTTGGGCCCCTGCACCCTTGTGGGAGAACTGGAAGAAGCTCCTGGCTCCTGGCTTCAGATCAGAGCAGCTCTGGCTGTTGCAGCCAACTAGGGAGTGAACCATTGGATGGAAGACCTCTCTCTCTTTCTCTGCCTCTCCTCTCTGTGTGTAACTCTGACTTGCAAATAAATAAATAAATCTTTAAAAAAAATTCATGTGAGTGACTTGCTGGATTTCCCTGAAATAAAATTCATCAACATCATGATTTTCTTGAACTTGTTTTCAAGTAATGCTCAGTAACCAAGTGGTACATAATAACATCTACATCATTCACTTATCTCATCACAGACCATCACAAGGAGAGTGGTGAGTACAGTATAACAGGGTATTTTGAGAGATGCCACATTTCATTAACTTCTACTTCAGGATATAAATTGTTCTATTTTCTTATTAGTTATTGTTGGTAATCTCTTACTGTGCCTAACACAAATTAAATATTTATTATAGGCATATATGTTTGAAAAATATAGTATATATAGGGTTCGGTATTATCCATGGTTTCAGGCATCTTCCGTGTCTTGGTTCCTATGGATAAGGGAGAACCACAGTAGCCGAATATTATTTGCTATGCTTCTATTCTGATACAATATATTTAAAAAAGAAGACAAACTGGAATTTTAAAAATTCAAACGACTTCCAGGATTACAGTTAATAAAAAAATAAGATAATTTCAAATCAAAGCAGAATGGCATGAGCTGGTATATGTCACCAAAGCTTACAAACTTCAGAAGTCAATTATTTTCAGAAAAGCAGAAATTCAATAAACCAAGATTTATCTCAATATGCTTGAAAAAGAAGTATTAGTTGTAGGTAAGACAACTAGAAATCAAAGAGTGAATGCTGAAAGAGATATGAGACTTTTAAAAGACTATGCAGTGGCAGACTCATCAATTTCTTGATTCATTTCACATTCCCCGGAAAAGGGAAAAACGGAAACCATAACTGACTGACAGTCTCTTATCTTCCAGCTGCCTAGCAGTTGCAAAGGAAAGTTACCTTCCGATGAAAACAATTTTAAAATGTACAAGTCTTAAAGAAAGACACACTGCTTTCTTAGTCTCATCTATATAAACAATTATGGCAATTTTAAGTGAAAAAGAATATAAGCCAACAAATCACACTACATAGTATGTGTATACATCAAATCATCACAGAATACTCCACAAATAATTTTTCTGTCAAGAATTTTAAAAGCTACAAACTGCTATCATCCATATCTAACCAACACATCATTCCTGAGGATCTCTATTCCCAGTCTTCTCCAGGATTTATTTACAGCTATTATGTCTTTTTGTCTGATCTGCTGCACTCTCCTCAATCTTTGATTGTCGCTCATCGCCACACATTTCTTCCTCTCTACACCGTATCGGTGCTCTCTCTAGTCTCCCGGCCACATCCTGTCTTTCTCCCCTTGTGTGGCACCCCCAGCAGAATAAGCTGCTTCTGCTCTCCTAGTCCTCCCTGGCTCCCTACCCTCGTCTCCTTCGCTCGGTCTGAAGCATCTTACCCTTTCTTGTCTCCACCTCTGCTGACCAAGTTTAACTAAAGCTTAACTTACAGGCTTTGTGTTCCGACGGACTGGTGAGGATAAACAGCTGAAAATGGCAGTTCTCAAAAACTGGACTTTAGAAAGGTGGTTTTTCAGCTAAACAAGGGGCTGTCCAGTAGTTCCAAGAAACGGTTTTGAGCAGAGTCTCCCTGTTTTTGCCCCCATTCATCTCTCTGGAGACCTCCACTTTTTCCTCTATTATTTCTGTTTTCTCTTCCTGTTACTTTCCTCAGTTCTTTTCTCCTTACTATTACATACATATAATATATATGTAAAGTTTATTTGATGGGCAGCGACAGAGGGAGACACAGGGAGAGAGGCCGCCCAGAGCTTCATCTGCGTCCCGCACATGGGTGCCGGGGCCAAGCACTTGGAGGTGTCCCAGGGCCGGTAGTAGGCAGCTGGATGGGCAGTGCAGCCCGGGCTCCATCAGCGCCCATGCAGGCCGTGGGTAACACAAGGCCACGGCGCCGGCTGGCTTACTAATTTTTCCAGGGAGCCCCTTGTACTCTGTTCTTCCACCTTTCATGGACCCGGCACTGCCCGCTCCCACTTCCCAGCGTTTCCGTCCCCCTCACTTTCTCCGGGTCCCTCTGTCCTCTCACCACACTGACCGCAATGCGGGAGCCCAGAGAGGCGCACGTCTCGGGGTGGCGTGGGGAGGGTGCAGGGTCAGCCGCCAAGGGACAGGGCAGACAGGGGCAGGGGCCACCCACGGAAAGCAGAGGAGGGCGGAGGGCGCGGCCCGCAGAACCCCGGGGTGCACGCGGCGAGGCGCTGTCCAGCGCGTGCCCTGGGGCCTCGGGGGACCTGGCTGAGCGGGAACGGGGACGCCACCTCACAAGGCCATTGCCCGAGACCTTCAACGAAGCGGGGCGGACAGCGAGGCGGCACGCGAGGCCCACGCGGCGCGACCACCAAGACCGAGGCGGGAACCGGGCTCGCGGAGGCTGCGGCCGGAAGCGTTCCTGGACCCCTGCCCGGCGGCGAAGACGGACGGCGACTCCGGGACTTACCGCGGGCGCGGGCACGGACGCCGGGCTTCTCACGTCCGCGGCGACTTCTCAGAGCCCCGTGAGGTAAGAACGGAGGCCTGAGGAGGCGGGGGAAGCGGAAAAGCAGAACCCAAGGCACGTCGGTGCCACCTCAGCTCCGCGCTCTCCGCCTCAGGGTCTGAGGGAAACTGCGCGTGCGCACACGGAAATGGCCGGCGCTGTGGGCGGGGCCTGGTGGGGGCGGAGTCACTCTGGGCTCTTGATTCCGTTGGCGTTGTCTGCAGTGTTCCCTATTTTTCCCGCGGTTTGAAGTGGATGAATTCGACTCGAGTGCGGTGGAGAAGCGTTGCTCCATACCTACTTTAAGTTAATGTTTCAATCGTTCAAACTCCGTTGGGTAAAAAAAGAGTTCTGGTTTTAATAATATAAAGCTTGCTTTATTTATTTATTTATTTATTTATGCCGAGGGTTGGAGATGCGGGTCTTGTTGCTGAGGCAATTGGTGTGGGAATAGGGACCTCAGTATGGGTGTGGGTGTCTGTGTGGAGCTATGTTCGGGTCTTGCAAAGTCAACTCCCACTTAGAAATTAAGCATGTAATTAAGAGGATGCTGTTCCACCTGCAGAGGATACAAGCTTGAATGTGAAATATGACAGCTATTTCTAGGGAATAAGACATTCCATGCTGGTACCCGTCAGCACGTCATTTCCATTTGTATCCTCCGTCCTCCTTGAGAGGAGGATGTTATGCACAGTTCTAGAGACTTCTATAGGAACAAGGCCTGGGGTATGGTAGTGGTTGGGTGACACAATGTGATAAAGAAAGCTTCTACCAGGAAGTCAGCCTACTCTTAGTAGGGGTTTAAGAATAAGGCAAAATTCTGTGTTTTGTGGGAGAAGAGACCCTTAACTGAAGTTTAATGTTATAAGCATTTTTGTTCTAGTGGAGGTAAAGAGTTAAGCTAATTAGGTTAAAAATGGGAATTTGGAGCATTTCCATCTGTCTTTGTTCTAGATAAACAAGGACAGTGCATACCAGTCCTATCTAATATAAGAGGGTTTTTTTTGGCATTAAACTCTTTCCTGGGAGAAAGTCCTTAAGTGTCACTGTATCCCAGGATTGCAAGGCTCAGGAACAGTACAATATTTTTGCTACATATTATGACACTAGACAGCATTCCAAAAACTAATATGTTTGACAGAGCATTGAAAAACTTTAGGTTCATAACAGTAACAAATTTGCCTAGGAATCTCAATGATTATGTCTTCAAATGGCATTAAAGGGCTCTGCATCTTCATTGTGGCTGTGTTGTGCCTGCTCTTATCATGTACAAGAGATTTGAGTGTTGAACGATCTTGCCCTGGTGCCGGCATTGTCGCGCAGTGATAAATAAGTGGCTGCATGGAATCCCATCATGCAATATTGGAATATTGGTTTATGTCGCAGACCCTCCACTTTTGGTCCATTCTGTATCCCATGTTGGAATGCTGGTGTGGGGCTCCATGGGATGCGCAGCCATGGAGCCCCACATCAAGGTCGGTCTGATAGCTGTTGCTGTGTCTTTATCACAAGGTGGATGTTGCTAGTTTCGGTTAGGGCGATGCTTTCCCATGGTCCGGACTTTCCAGAGGAGTTGAGAATGTTGTAAACAACAAGATGGCGCAGAGGACTGCGCAGTGAGCCTGCCTGCTGCGTGACACCTCATCTGATTGGCCCGAGGACGCGTGCACACTGAGTGAACAGACAGTGGATTGGAGTGTTCCGTGCATGGACTTGAGCCCGCTTGCAATTGGCCAGATTTTGTATATAAGCTATGTGCTGAGGAAGGAGGGGGCTTTCCTGTCCACTCTCCTCCTTTCATTTTTTCTCTGTCCCTGTTATTTTCCCATTAAAAGTCTGCTGAAGACCGATAAGCTGCAAACAGTGTCGTTCCTTTGCAGGCAAGGGAGCGGCATGCTGGTTTGAGTCCTAACTTACTTCACATTGGATCTAGCTTCTTGCTACTGCACCTGAAAAACAGGGGATGATGGCTCAAGTCCTTGGGTTCCTACCACCCGTGTGAGACTGGGATGAAGTTCCTGGATAGTACAGGGGAAAGTGGCCATCATGAGAAGACTTTATCTTTCAATGGTGATATGCTCAAAATTAGGAATCCTAGATTCCCTTCTGGAAACATGAGGAATATGTCAGGAACCTTGGAAAGCATGAAGGGAGCACCCTTTAGGGAGCAAAGAATTCTTCCAATTTGCTGTGAGGTGGGTGAAAGGGGATAGTAGTCTCTCCCTGGAGATCACAGGCCTATTTTTATGCTATTCCCTCACAAACTGAATACATCCAGCTCTCGACTGCCTTTAAAACTGACCTCCATGTGTGTCTAGTTGCTGGCAAGTTTTCCCAACTTGCTAGGCTTCTTGATTTGCATGGTTTAGACCCACTGGTATAGCTTATTTTCATTCTTGTCCTGTGCTTGATCCCAGAAGCCCCTGTGTCACGTAGCTCAACTTGTACATACAGGAATGCATGAGAGGTGGGAGATGGGGGAAGAGTGGAGGGGAGTTTTTATGGTTCCCCGCAAGGACCCGGTTGAGTGGGCCTCTGTATGTGCTCAGTGAATTCACTGTTCAACTGTCACATGAGTGCTGGATGAAGGATGCATGGATTCCTGGGGAGAGGCCGAGGGAGTGGAGCAATAGAAGCGGGTTTAAGGGTGGTGAAGAGCTCCATACATCATTGTGGTATTTTAGGATGTGTTTACCAGCACACATATTGAGATCAAGATTTTTCCTGCAGGATTTTAATTGGTAGGAACCTCTTGATCACAGCTGAGGAATGAAATGAACTTGGGAAGAGAGCAAAGCTAGAGTGTGGTGTAGTTGCAGTGCAGTCCAAGCTAAATCTAGAGTGGGCCGTGATACTGGAATGGCCTGTTGGAGTCAATCAGATTGAACGAAGGCATCAAATATTGTATCATTCATTGACCAATTGCTTGACAGGTTACTGGCTATCTCACAATGAAGGAAATAGGGTTGTGATCTTATGGGAGAGGCTACTGCTATCCCCTTATCACTCATGGTAGATGGGAAGAATCCTTTGATCTCCCAAGGATACACCTTTGATACCCTCTGAGGTTCCCCCTGTGCTTCCTGACGGGAGTCTAGGATCCCTAATTTTGAGCATCTCACCACCGAAAGGCAAAACGTCTCTACAACAGGAAAGGATTGATCTGTGATCCATCAACACAAGCAGGTTTCCCAAGAGGGATTTCTTACTGGCAGATTTAAAGCAAGTAATGGTGCCACAGGGTCAGGCTACAACTGATAATGGTTAGTGTGACCTATCTGTGTAATGTGGTGTGAAAGGGTCAACCTTATGGAATGAGTTATACATAAATAAAACAAAACAAGTAGTTTCATTAAGATCAGAAAAATATCCCAATCCATGGACCTTGAAGATACATAGTCCATTATTCATTGCAGTAAATAAGGAGGGAGATGAAGAGGCAATGATAATGTCAAGAAGGGAAGGAATTTCAGAGAGATATATTTAAGGTAAAATGAATTCATTGTTTTCTTAAAATTACAGTATGAGACTATAACAATCACTCTTTTCCTTCTACATTTATATCTTAGTTTATCACCTTGTGTCATTCAGGTCTTTCACTGAACTAGACTTAAAGGATCTAAATAAACTGGTAGCAAAATACAATCATCAGGGGTAAAATGTAAATCCTACATACACACAAAACTGTAGTTCTTTTTGCCTGGAATATTTATCTCAGAATTGCTGTCTAAAATTTCCAAAAATAACTATTTTTATTCATCTTTGGTATAAAACACTATTTGCTTTCTTTTTTTTTTTTTTGACAGGCAGAGTGGACAGTGAGAGAGAGAGACAGAGAGAAAGGTCTTCCTTTATGCTGTTGGTTCACCCTCCAAAGGCCGCTGCAGCTGGCGCGCTGCGGCTGGCACTCTGTGCTGATCTGAAGGCAGGAGCCAGGTGCTTCTCCTGGTCTCCCATGTGGTGCAGGGCCCAAGCACTTGGACCATCCTCCACTGCACTCCTTGGCCACAGCACAGCTGGCCAGAAGAAGGGCAACCGGGACAGAATCCGGCGCCCCGACCGGGACTAGAACCCGGTGTGCCGGCGCCGCAAGGTGGAGGATTAGCCTAGTGAGCCGCGGCACCGGCCTATTTGTTTTCAAAGGAGAATGATCATCATTTCTTCTCTTCTTACAACAAATTGTTATCCTCACATGAAAATTTCTCAGTGTATTGGTTTGCTCTTTCTGATTCATGAGCAGTTAGTTGCAGCAATCCTTTCTAGTATTCCAAAGTGCTTATCTCCCATATAAATACTTTTGGAGGTGGCGTTTAACAGATTAATCATGATGCATTTGCCCACAGTTGCATATTATCTTCTGTTCATCATTCTCATTCAAATTTACACCATATTATACCTTAAAATTTAGTGTCCCCCATCTTCCAGCAAACACTGTGTGTGTATGAACTGCACCTAATCAAATAGATCCTTTCACCTTAATCAACCCTTTCCACAAACTCTCATGTTTACATATGAATGGGCTGTAATCAAACAACAACATATTTCAAACTTCAGTTTGAAAATAATAGTAATGCAGCCTTTCAAGAACCTCAAATGACTGAGTAAAATATTTTAAAAAGTGAAAGTAACAAGATTTTTCCACAGGTTTCCCTGGCAGCAATTACAGATCATGTTTTGATCTTTGCAATCTTTATAGAATTTAACTCAAAACATCCTTGAGAACAAGAGGCTGTTTACTCTAGCATGGATTCTCTGATGTGTAGCCTGTTGTGAAAAGTTGTTATATTCTTGTTTATACTTATTACATTTGGATGGATTCTTTACAATAGAAATTAGTTGTTGAGTCCTGAGGTCAGACTGTTGTCTAAAGGCCTTAACATAATACATACAATTGTATGTTTTCTCTTCAAAATGAATTCTCAGGACTGAAAATTATGAATACTTGAGGAAAGCTTACCACATTCATTCAATTTAAAATTCAACTGAATAGATATATTTGACTCTATTAGGAGTAGTCTGTAAGCTTAATGTAAAAGTGTATATATTTGCTGGTGTCCTATTACACACTGGGTGACTATAAATAACAAGAATTTTATGGATAATTTTATAAACAAAAGGTAATAGAAGTATTTGGAATGTTTTCACATACAGAAATGGTAAACTTTTGAGGAGATAAATATATTTCCCTTGTTTTAGACATTACACAGGATATATATGTATATCAGATCATCACATGGTTCCCCATATATTGTATTTATTTGTCAGCTACAAATTAAAAAAATCTTTAAAAATACTCAAATACACACAGAGGAATGATTTATATTCTTGTATTTTTCATTATACCACTCCCATTGTCCTACTGTCTTAATTCTTGTAGATTAAAATTCTTGTAGATGAAAAACTCTACATTTCCCTTTTTGAAGACTGTGCATAATTAGCTGGTATAAATAACGTGGAGTTTTCTTCTTTTTCTCAATTTTATTTGTATTTTAGTTACACAGAAGCACTTCAAAAATTTATTAGAAAATTGGAATTAAACGATAAATTTCTTTTGGTGCCAAGAAATTCTTAAATTTATTATAGTTTTATCATGACATGATAAAATTTGTCCATGACCTTTATGAGAGCCCATGTCTGCCCAAATTTCAAAATTTTACCTTGGTGGGTTTATCTTCAGAATCTATCAGTTTTTACTTGGAAAGTGCATGAGACTTTACTTTCTTTTTATGATTTATTTATTTGAAAGGCAGAGTCAGAGAGAGGAGAGAGAGAGAGATCCTCCATCATCTGGTTCACTCCTCAAATGGTTTCAACCTCTGGGGCTGGGCCAGGCTGAGCCACGCTGAGCCAGGAGCTTCCTCCAGGTCTCCCACATGGGTACAGAGGCTGAAAGACTTGAGCCATCTTCTTCTGCTTTCCCAGGTGCATCAGCAGGGAGCTGGATTAGAAGTGGAGCAGTTGGGTCTTGAACCAGTGCCCATATGGGATTCTGACACTTTAGGAAGTTGCTCAACCTGCTGTGCCAAGGAGACTTTTCAAAGCCAGTCAACATTTTGTGACAAACATTCAACTCCAGCTGGACAGTACGATGGCACTCCAGCAAGAATCGATGGACTTCCTATCAAGTCCTTTTGATCCATAGTAAACCATTGTCAGTGACAAACACACAGGTCTTGAAAGCACTGCACAATGAAACCTCACAACCGAGCACCCTCTATACACAGCATGGGTTCAGAAACCAGAAGTCACATTTTGTCTTCTTCCCATTACGACCTGTCCTGACCACAGGTGACCACAGTTCTAACATCTGAGAGCTCACAGCCTCTTTTCCACAGCGTTGTTGAAATAACACAGCAGTAATCTGTTTAAGCTTTTTTCACTCCTCATATCATTTATGAATATATGCTTATTGCTGCACGCTGTGCATTATTAATTAACACTGCTTCTATGTGATACTTAAGGGGAGCATTTTATTTGAAGTTTTATTTCTAAGATTATTTGATCATCTCTTCATGCATAGAATTAGGGTACTTTTTCTTGAGGTTTCCTTTGGTTTGTTTTTCTGTTTTTCCCTATTGAGTTGTTTTTCTTTTTCCTGTTATTTTACTGAAGTGCATTAGTATTATCGTTAAACTTCCTTTTTTGCTTCTCCCTCTCTTTTTGATTTTCCTTTGAAGAATATTATTTCTATGTTTAGTATGACCTAAACTGCCACTTGCCACTCTATATTTAGTCTATTCTGTTTTCTGTCAGGAATCTATTCCAAAGAGATGTTCTTATCTTTATTTTCCTGTAACTTACATCATTCGTGTTTAAGATTTCATCAAACATTTATTCAGAAGATGTGGGTTGTATCCTGAATAGCAACAGATGATTTACCAATATAACTGGGCAATTTCAGCTGATGTAGAATATGCCATATGATGGTGTTTTTTCTTTTCTCTCACTGATGATTGCTTTCCAAGGAATCATCACATCACCCTAGGAGCTGACTTTTCCATGAAGACCTGAGCACACTCTCCCCATCTCCTCCTGAAGGCTGCACCAGACCCTCAGTCATGCAAAACAAGGTCCTGGTGTCCAGAATCTTAGTGGATGCTTTATGTCAGAGGATCTTGTATTCTTGTGCTTAGGGCAGAAATCCACCCAGCTGGGGTCATTTCCCCATATACCTCCAATTTCTCCTCTAATTTATCAGCTTCTGTTCCAATTATCAAGGAGTTTTGCATCACAGATCATTTAGAAAGATAACAGTAATAAAACTGGGAGTAAGGATGATTGCACAGACCACTGAAATGACAAAGGTAACAAGGTACCAATCCCACTCACAGCCCTGTCCACTTCTTGACAGTTTTGATAAAGATGGGATGATGGATGAGTAATGATGTTCTGGAAATAGGAAGAACCTCTATGCAATGGGTTAGGGGAGGAAGAAGGCTCAATGGCACCTGGAGTAAATTTGTTCACCACGTGGGGACCAGGAGGTGTGAGGAGCCTTCCCTGTACTGATCATGAGGCTCATGTGTGGGAAGTAGAATCGAAACAAACTCCTGAAAGGGCCTCGCTTGTTCATTCTCTTCCTGAGTGGACTGTGGGCTCAAGGAGTCAGCAAACTGATGGACATCTTGTAGTGAGATGAAAATGTCATCCCTTTCTTTGGTTGAGCTTCCAGCAGTCAACAGACTGATAGTATGGACCGGTCTTATGGAATCTGTGTAGCCCAGAGTTGCTCTGTCAGTCTAGCCTGATTCTGGCAACCTTACAGAAAAAGCATTTATTACATCAATGATGCTGAGCTTAGTGGTCTGAAGTGTCAGAAAGAACTCACTGTGGGGTAGACATATCTGTGAAGCCAGGGACACAGGAGCTTCACTGCCAGTCCTCCCATGCCAGACTCAGGATCTCCTGCTCCCTCTAGGTCAGAAGTTGTCTGCTCCAGGGAGCTGAGAAAAGACAGAGTCAGTGTAAGAGTCTAACAGTCTCCTTGGAGAAAACAACTACAGTAGTGTAATTGTTTTTGTTATTGGGAAGAGTGAAAAAGTTTTCACAACCATCCTCAGTACCCCAACTTGACATTCACTGCAGCTGCAGGTGAAGAGATAATTGCAGCTCCACAGGGAGGTGAAGTCACAGGCACACACCATTTCTAGTGCTCCAGCTGCCTCCAGCCCATCCTATGCTGACTGTGGTGACCTTCGTGCCAGATGCTTGTCCTGAGAGAGGAGAGAAAGTGAGTCTTCAGGCATGGAGGCGTCTGGAGTCTGGGTGAGTGATCAGGTGAGAAAGGGGATTCGCCTGTATTTGCAACTGGTCCTGTGCCCCAGCCTCACAGGAAGCAGAAAGGATTCTGAGATATGTATTGAGCTAGGACAGGGGTGGCGTCCTACATCCTACACCAGTCCTTGGGGGCTGCAAATGGAATTTGGTGTCATTCATAGTGACATCTGTTCTTGGTGTTGATGAAAACATTCATGAAATTTGGTGTTTAATATGCTTAAAGACTGCAGTTCCAAAAGCAAATCTGCTGTTTGGTGCTGTACAGGAGTCCCTGATTCCACTTTCAGGAGTACCAGAGATGCACCTGGAGAGCCCAATGTGCCAGTGACACAGAGCAGGGCATAGCCACAGAAACAGTGCATCCCAGTGGTGATTCCTGGACTAGAAAGGTTTTCTCTAATGTTGTCCAAATTGCTCAATGGATGCAGTGATTGTTTCCTACCAGAAACACCCACAGCTCCTTAATTATGGTTTGATTATTTTCCATCTTTAAGTCAGGGAAGTCTAGCTAAGGAAAAGGTAGTGGTATCATGTAGCAATGGGTTTCAGGTGAGAGCAATCAGGTACAAATGTGTCCTCTGACAATTGCTCTGGGTTGCAAATATTTTCATGTCAATAGCAAGCTCTATAATTTCAAGCTACAAGATAGAATATATTGGATACTGAGAGACCTAATAAGCATACATGGCTTATACTTCAATCTTTCAAAAACCTTGACTTTTTGAAAAAAACTCTGCTTACGTATTCACTTAAGTAAATATGTAAGTATATGGCATGAAAGTAGTCATGTTGAGTTTCTACCAGAAACTCTTTGGAACTCTGTAAAAAAATGCTAAGCACTGTAATTAACACACAATTATTCTTAGGTGTTTAAATTTAACTGAAAAGTGATCCCTGTTAAATATAAGAGTGGGAATGAGAGAGGGAGAAGATGTACAATTTGGAACATGCTCAATCGGACTTGCCCCAAATGGTGGAGTTAGAAATGTGCCAGGGGATTCCAATACAATCCCATCAAGGTTGCATGTACCAATGCCATCTCACTAGTCGAAGTGATCAATTTCAGTTCACAATTGATCATACTGATAGGTCTAAGAGTCAAAGGGATCACACAAAAAAGACTAGTGTCTGCTAATACTAACTGATAGAATAAAAAAGGGAGAGAACGATCCAACATGGGAAGCGGGATACACAGCAGACTCATAGAATGGCAGATGTCCTAAACAGCACTCTGGCCTCAGAATCAGCCCTTAAGGCATTCAGATCTGGCTGAAGAGCCCATGAGAGTAGTTTAGGCATGGAAAGCCAAGATACTCTGACAAAAACAAAACAAAACAAAAAAACACAAACAAACAAAAACCTAAATGTAAGATCTCTGCGAGTGAGATCCCAGTAGAAAGAATGGGCCATCAAAAAAGGAGGTACCTTTCTCTGAAGGGAGGAGAGAACTTCCACTTTGACTATGACCTTGTCTAAATAAGATCGAAGTCGGCAAACTCAAAAGGCTTCCATAGCCTTGGCAACTCATGACTAGAGCCTAGGGAGATTACGGACACCATAAACAAGAGTGTCAAATTGTTAAGGCAACAACAGGAGTCACTGTGTACTTACTCCTCATCTAGGATCTCTGTCCTTAATGTGTTGTCCAATGTGAATTAATGCTATAACTAGTACTGAAACAGTATTTTACACTTTATGTTCTGTGTGGGTGCAAACTGATGAAATCTTTACTTAATATATACTAAATTGATCTTCTGTATATATAGATAATTGAAAGTGAATCTTGATGTGAATGGAATGGGAGAGAGAACAGGAGATGGGAGGATTGCAGGTGGGAGGGAAGTTATGGGGGGAAAAGCCATTATAATCCATAAACTGTACTTTGGAAAATTATATTTACTAAATAAAAGTTAAAGAAATGTTAAGGCAACGTGGTTTGTAGGTATAATTCTTTTTTGATTTTAAATATTTATTTATTTATTTGAAAATCAGAGTCACACAGAGAGAGAAGGAGAGGGAGAGAGGAGCAAGGAGAGAGGAGTGAGACAGAGAGAGAGAGTGTCTTCCATTCACTCTCCAACTGGCTGCAATGGCTGGAGCTGAGCCTATCCAAAACCAGGAGCCAGGAGTTTCTTCCAGGTCTCTCGTGTGCATGCAGGAGTCCAAGCACTTGGGCCATCCTCCACTGCTTTCCCAGGCCATAGCAGAGAGCCAGATCATAAGTGCAGCAACCGGGACTTGAACCAGCATCCATATGGGGTGCCAGCACTGCAGGCAGTGGCTTTATCAGCTATGCCACAGCATTGGCCCCTCTAGGTACAATTCTAAGAATGTAATATTAAAAAAAAGAGAGAATGTAATACTATTTGGGGCCGGCACTGTGGCACAGCATGTTAATGCCCTGGCCTGAAGCACCAGCATCCCATATGAGTGCCCTTTCAAGACCAGGCTCCTCCACTTCTGATCCAGCTCTCTGCTATGCCCTGGGAAAGCAGTAGGATGGCCCCAAGTCCTTGGGCCCCTGCATCCATTCCCACGTGGGAGACCTGGGATAAGCTCCTGGCTCCTGGCTTTGGATCAGTACAGCTCCGGCCGTTGTGGCCAGTTGGGGAGTTAATCAGTCCAAGTGATCAGTTTCAGTTCACAATTGATCATAATGAAAGTATTAAAGTCAAAGAGATCACATAAACAAGACTAGTGTCTGCTAATACTAACTGATAGAATAAAAAAGGGAGAGAACGATCCAACATGGGAAGCGGGATACACAGCAGACTCATAGAATGGCAGATGTCCTAAACAGCACTCTGGCGTCAGAATCAGCCCTTAAGGCATTCAGATCTGGCTGAAGAGTGAGTGAGATCCCAGTAGAAAGAATGGGCCATCAAAGAAGGAGGTACCTTTCTCTGAAGGGAGGAGAGAATTTCCACTTTGACTATGACCTTGTCTAAATAAGATCGAAGTCGGCAAACTCAAAAGGCTTCCATAGCCTTGGCAACTCATGACTAGAGACTCTCTCTCTGCCTCTCCTCTCTCTGCGTAACTCTGACTTTCAAATAAATAAATAAATAAATCTTAAGAAAAGAATGTAATGCTGTTCCCTTCTTCTCTCCCTCTTTCCCTCTTGCCCACCCACCCTCCTCTCCTCCCTTTCTTGTTTTTCATTTTTGAGATAGTATATTTTAAATTTACATTAGAGTAAAAAAGGTGTAATATTTCACTGAGTAAGAAGTTCAACAAGTGAAAAGCAAAAAGACCCTAATTTAGTGGGAATATACACAAAAGCTAAAAAATAATTGAATGGAAAAATGACTATTTCACCCATATACACTGAATTCCAAAGTAATCATAGATCATTATACCTGTAGTGGTATAACATTCTTAGCCGTTGGTTGGACAGTGGTATAAAAAAGTTTTACAAAACTGTGTTTGCAGCAATACTGATACAGACATTCATTTTTTCTTTTTTTTGTTTGCTTTGTAAATTTTAGCTCCCACATATAAGGAAAATATGCAGTATTTGTCTTTGTGAGTCTGGCATATTTCACTCAATATGAGGTTCTCCTTTTGCTTCCATTTGCTGTGAATGGTGGAATTTCATTCTTTTTTGCAGCTGCATAATATGCCATTGTGTATATATTCCACATTTTCTTTGTCCATTCATCTGATGATGGTCACCTTGGTTGAATACAAACTTTTGGCTATTGTGAACCGTTAAGGAGAAATTTCTAAGTGAACTCTGATAAGTAGAGCATATTGTGAATAGAGACTGTAGAATTTGGTTGATATTAATACATGTAGCTCTTTCCTCATTTCCCACACAGGAATCTCAGGCTCAGAGGCAATAACTGGGTACTGGGAACTGATGGGATGGTCGCCAGAGACTGGACAATGGGGATGATCTTCTTATCACAGACCATTCTAGGAACCCTGGGGAATTTCTCTCTTCTTTCCCATGATCTCTATCTCCACTTCACAGGATGCAAGTTTAGGCCCACAGATTTGATCATCAAACACCTGACTGTAGCCAACTGCTTAGTCATTCTCTCTAGAGGAGTTCCCCAAACCATGGCAGCTTTGGGGATGAAGCATTTCCTCAGTGATGCTGGGTGCAAACTTGTGTTCTATGTGCACAGTGTGGGAAGGGATGTGTCCATTGGCAGTACGTGTCTTTTGAGTATCTCCCAGGCCATGACCATCAGTCCCACCCACTCCAGGTGGATGGATCTTAAAGTAAAAGCTCTCAAATGCATTGGTCCCTCTAGTATCCTCTGCTGGATCCTGAACCTGACTATAGATATCATAGTACCAGTGCATATGACTGGAAAAAGGAGTGACAAAAACATCACAAAGAAAACTGACTTTGGAGACTGTTATCTTGTGAGTCATGGCAAATACATAGATTCCCTGAATGCAGTCCTGCTATTATTCCGAGATGTTTTCTTCGTGGGGCTCATGTTCTGGGCCAGCAGCTTCATGGTTTTCATCCTGTACAGGCACAAGCAGCAGGTCCAGTACATCCATAGGACCAACATCTCCTGCAGGTCCTCCCCAGAGTCCAGAGCCATCCACAGTATCCTCATGCTGGTGAGCACCTTTGTGTCTTTGTGCACTCTCTCTTCAATACTTCACTTTTTCATAGCTGTATTAGACAACCACAGTGTGTGGCTGGTGAACACCTCTGCACTAATTGCTGGGAGTTTCCTAACTGTGAGCCCCTGCATTCTCATGAGCTACTACTCCAGAGTACCTAGGCCTGTTGTGCACACACAAGGATGACATAATCCCCCACTTCGCCTGAATGTGCAAATTACATGCATATTCAAGATGGCTCATCCTTGATAATTAATTAAGTTGTTATCTGAGAGGCAGAGAGACAGAAACTCACCATCCTCTGATTCACTCCCAAATTTTTCTGTAAACCCAGATCAGAGGCCAAAGCTGTGATCTAGGAACTTAGTTAAGGTCTATTATGTGGGTGGCAGGAACCCAATTACATATGTCTCCAAAGTCTGCACTAGCAGGAAGCTTGGCCTGAGAGCAGAGCTTGGTGTGAACCCTGTAACTCCAATAGTGTATGTGGCAATTTTTTTCAGATTAAAATATTTAATTGACAGAGTTACAAAGAGAGAGGGAGGGAGAGACAGAGAAGGAGAGAGAGAGAGAGAGAGAGAGAGAGATCGATCTTCAAACTGCTGGTTCACTCCCCAAGTGGCTGCACCAGCCAGGGCTGGGCCAGTCTCAAGCTAGGAACCAGGAGCTTCATCTGGGTCTCCCATGTGGATGCAGGGGCCCAAGCACTTGTGCCACCTTCTGCTGCTTTCCCGGGCACATAGCAGGGAGCTGGATCAGATGTGGAGCAGCCAGGACTTATACCAGTGCCCAAATGTGATGCTGGTGTTGCAGGTGGCACGTTAACCCACACCTAAATACAAAGCACAGCTCAAACCCCTTTTTCCCAGAAACACCTACTACCTTATGTAGGCTGATCACAGGCATAGAAAATGGGGCAGATTCAGGAAGACTCCTAGAAAGGTCTTTGGATGGAGAACCTCCTGGTCAGTGGCCATCTGTTGCCCTGACCATATCTGGTCCAGACCTCCGGCCTGCTCCCAGAACCTGGCTTGCAGGAGCCCTGCTAGAGTCAACTGCCTGAGTATCAGTTGTGTCTGAGACTCATCTTTCACACAGATCTCACAGAGGGAAGGATGTTGCTTTGGGGAAGCTGCTTAACTTGGACCGCCTGAAACCCATACAAAACACCAAGTTTATTGTTCTATCAGGGAGACTAACATGGGATAGATACATTTTTTGTTTTAAGCCTTTTATTTTTTAATATGTACATTCATCTTTATTTAATACAACACATGACACATACAAAAAGAAAAACCACTCATGTAAAAGGCCCTGTCACCAAGGACAGACAGGAAACAGCCACACTGAATCAAACAAGGCTCTTGTGTTTTAAGCCTTCTATTTTTATCTATTTTGATAACATTCAACTCAACACACTATGAAACATCTGACTTTACTAAGAGTAACTTTTAAGGTCAATGCAAAGTATATATATTTGGTGGTATCCTATCAACAATGGGTGGCTTAGGAAACAATATGTTCTGGATAATTTTCAAACAGAAAGAGAGTAGAAATGCTTAGAATGTTCTCACCATACATAAAGGAGAAGTGTTTAAGAAGATACATGTTTACCTTGTTTTAAATATCACACATATATTAAACCATGTATGAGAACATTTCATGTACTCCATACATATGTACAAGATGCATTTTTCAATTAAAGTAAAAATTCTCCAAAGCTCTGTCTCTCTATATAAATGTATATAAACATATATTTGTAATTTAAGAATTCATTCAACTTTCTCTGTGATCTTCATAGTATCTCTCCTATTGTTTCTGTCCACTTTGGTGTCTTCTAGATCACTAGATGTGGGAGGCAGGGCCCGTCTCCCACAACATGGCGCTGAGAGGAAGTAAACAAATTTTACACAGCTGCTTCATCAATTTGACTGCTAGAAGCTGCAGGAGCTGATCCAACCTCTGATTGGAAGAGAATGGCGTGCTCAGCTTGTGGACAGCAGAGCACGGATTGGTAGAGGACTATAAAGGGGGAGAGAGACGGCACAGGAGGAGAGTTCGTTGGGGAGTTTGTTAGAGAGTTCGTTCGCTCCTTTTTTCTTCTCTTTACTTGCTCTTGCTTTACTGTAATAAAAACCCTACTGAAGGGGGATCAACAGCGTCTCGTGTGGCTCCTCAGTGGGCGGGGGAGTGACAAGTGGTTCCGTGACTCAGATACGGACTGCTGGAAGAAATCCAGAAAGTACCGGGGAGAGGAAAAAAGAAAAGAAGTAAAAGAAAAAGCTAGGGGAAAATCTAGGAATCAAAGTAAAAAAAAAAGCTAGGAAAAACTTAGGAAGCAAAGAAGCTAGGGAAAACCTAGGAAGCAAAAAGAAAAAGCTAGGGAAAACCTAGGAAGTAAAGCTAGGAAGAATTAGTTAGAACAAGGTGCAATGGGTAACGTACCATCCATTGTCGGGCTGCGACTGCTCCTAAGCTGCTTGCTAGGAACAGCAGGGACTCCAGTAAAGGTGGCTACCGTTTGTGCATTCACAAGAGCGGTCGCAAAAATGTCTCCATGGTTTGTACAACAATGCAGATGAATGGGGTGACAATTGTGCGCAGCTGGGGAATCGGTGGAAGTGCTGAGGCTGTGGCAACTCATTGATCAAGTGTTCCAGGACCCCACGGAGAGGATAGGATTACTGCTTGATGAGGGGAGTGAGCTGCTGGAAAGGGTTCAGGAGGAGTCATGGCAGGGCAGTCAGGCGAGCAACCATGATAGCGAACGAGAAAGGAAAAAAATTAAAGAAGGACTCAAGAGAGAGCCAGAAAGCTTGTGGGGAAGAGGAGGAAGCTGAGGAGGGAGCCTCGCCCCCGAGAGAGATACCAAGATTATATCCTAGCTTGACAAGGCTGGCAAATTTAACCATAGAAGATGAATTGCCACCCTGGTATCGGCCATTCGCATTACCAAAGTCTTCACCAGTAAAAAAAAGTCCCTTTTTGCCACAACAGTGTGAGACTGCAGAAGAATGGGAGGAGGGGGAAGAAGGTATGCTGAAAGAGGAAGAAAGAGCAAGAACCAAAAGCAAACAAAGGGGAGCTGTTTATAAAAAACCTGCTTGGGAGCAATACCAGGAACCAGGCCATGTGTTTCCCGTACTACAAGATCAGCAAGGAAATAGGGGTTGGGCGCCTCTTGATCATAAATTGCTTAAAGAATTACAGCAGTCAGTGCAGCTGTATGGTCCCCATGCAAATTTTATGCAGGCAGTCCTTGAAAATATAGGACAGCAAGGCTTGATACCCGATGATTGGAGGAACTTAGCAAAGGCAGTGTTAGGTGGGGGTGACTTCCTCTTATGGTCAGCTGCTTATAGGGCACTTGCTCGGGAGCAATCTAAGCAGAACCATAGAGCAGGAAATCAAGCATGGAATGAGGAAATGTTAAATGGGGAAGGGTGATTTACCAATCCCGATGATCAGGCCCAACTACCAATAGCTGTCCTTCTACAAGTAAGGGAGATAGCAAGAAGAGCCTGGAGGGTGGTACCCAGAAAAGGTGAGATAAGACACAGCTTGACTAAGATAGTGCAGGGCTCTACCGAACCCTACGCTGACTTCATGAACAGACTAATGGGAGCAGCGGGAAATATTTTTGAAACTGTGGAGGAAGCTATGCCCTTAGTCAGAAAGTTGGCATATGAACAAGCAAATAAAACATGTCATGAAGCTCTTAGACCATGGCAGCATAAGGATATCCCTACCTTCCTGAAGATCTGTAAGGATGTCATGGATGATGTGGCTTCTGGATCACATGCCGCAGTAGCGATGGCCCAACAACTTAGATGGGATATGGGGGGACGAAAGTACTTTAAATGTGGTAAAGAAGGGCATTTAAAGAGAGAATGTAGGTCAAAGTTTCCAGCCCGAAATCAGCAAGGCATGGAGGACTTGAGAAGACCAGGCCTTTGCCCACGCTGTGGAAAAGGGAACCATTGGGCCAAGGAGTGTTATTCTAAGATGGATAGGGCGGGTAACCCCCTGATGGTGCCAAACAAGCTGGGCCCCATAATAGGAAGAGATCATTCAACTGCAATACCAGGTTCACAGGGGCAGCAGCGAAAAAACGGAATGTGTGCCCCTGCACCCTGGGGCCAAAACAATCAGTGGGTGTCACAGCGCATTATGCACAAAATGGGGTATCAGGGGGGAGGATTAGGCCCCAGAGGAGAAGGCAGGAGGGACCTAATACAACCCAAAGGTGACTCTGGAAGACAGGGCATGGGTTTTTCATAGGGGCCACTAAGATGCAGCTGCTGCCATTGACATGGCTGGACAACAAGCCAAAGTGGATACCACAGTGGCCCCTTACCCAGGAGAAGCTGGCTGCGGTAAATGATATAGTGTTACAACAATTAGAGGCAGGCCATTTACAACCATCAACTTCCCCATGGAATATGCCAATATTTGTAATAAAGAAAAAATCGGGGAAATATCGGTTGCTGCATGATTTATGGGCTATTAATCAGCAGATAAAACCCATGGGGACATTACAACCTGGACTTCCGGTTCCTACCATGATTCCGAAGCATTGGCCATTAATAGTACTTGATCTTAAGGACTGCTTTTTTAGCATACCTTTACATGAACAAGATACTCAGAGATTTGCTTTTACTATACCTTCCATTAATCATCAAGGTCCTGATAAAAGATATGAATGGAAAGTGCTTCCCCAAGGAATGACTAATAATCCTACCATATGTCAGCTGTATGTTGATCAGGCCATGGAGCCTGTTCAACAACAGTGCCCAGAAGTGCAACTTTTTCATTATATGGATGATTTGTTGATAACGGCTGAGAATGAAAGTCACCTTATGGGAGCATATAAGCTACTGCTATCATATTTGGAAAAGGCTGGATTACAAGTAGCGCCAGAGAAGATACAAAAAGGGGAAGTAGTGCAGTATTTAACCACCGAAGATACGATGCCTTTATTTAATATTTTAGAGGGAGATGCCCAGCTTGATTCCCCTCCTAGGCTGACGAAAGAAGCCCGTTTAACTTTGCAGAAAATAGAAAAACAGATTAAAGCAATGCAAATGGAAAGTTCTGATTTACAGCAAGCCCTAGAAATATTAGTTTTTGTGGAACAACTTTATCCCTGTGCAGTTATTTTGCAAGGATGACCCCTGCTGTTTGTGCATCCATGTTCACATGCACCGCGTGTATTATACACCCAAGGCACTGCAGTCGCTGATTTAATATTAACAGCTGTAAAAAAGATGACAGAAATTGTGGGGAAGACTCCAAAATGATGTGTAGTTCCCTTTGCTCAAGAGACAGTAGAAGCCTTTACAAGGGAATGCTGGCAGTGGGCATACATAGTATATACTTGCACTCAAGGTAACTTGACACAATTTTGGGATGGCAATGATACAGCAGTTGTAGTGCGAATTCCAACGTGGGTTCTGGTACCTGTGAAGGTTGAAGAAAAAGATTTTGCGGTGCTGTTAAGATCACGCCGAGATTATGGAGTAACGGCCACAGTAGTTACGGCGGTGACAGCCGCCCTGGTGGCAGGGACAGCTGCTGTGGCCATGGCGGTAACTCAGGGGGCCACAGTAGCACAGATAAATAATATTACTGGTCAAACCGCCAGGGCTCTTGAATCACAGGCAGGGTTAGATGAGCAGTTGTGAGCCGGGATTCTATTGTTATGTAGTACAGAAGCAATTAACTATTTTGGCTCAATTGATGGGTACTCCATGTTTGGTTCAAACACCATCAGTTTGTGTTCTTCCTTTTCAGTTTGAGAACTTTACACAGGCCGCAAATATGCCTTTAAAATTAGCACAAATGATTAATGGGACCTGGAATTAAGGATTAGCTTCCTTTGGTAATTGGATTTTGGATAAATGGAATACACTGAAGGAATAGGTTGCTATGGCATTGTCAGGCTTAGACTTGATTGTAGGATTTGGTGTTCTTGTACGTATAATGTTGAAGCTGCTTCAATGACAGTGGCAGTCAGAGGTGTCATCAAACAGGTGATGCTTGCCATGCAGCACTCTACGGGCACCCCTGAGATGTGGCTTAGCATGTTGGATCGGCAGTCAAAGATGGGTAAGCACCTGCGGGCAACTCTAGCAACCTAAGACAGAGGACAGGACATGCTTCCTGTATCCCTGATGACGGGTAAGCAGAGTATGTGCCACAGGGCACCTGAGACAGGCATGTATCCAAGAATAAAAAGTAGGGGGATCTGTGGGAGGCAGGGCCCGTCTCCCACAACATGGCGCTGAGAGGAAGTAAACAAATTTTACACAGCTGCTTTATCACTTTGACTGCTAGAAGCTGCAGGAGCTGATCCAACCTCTGATTGGAAGAGAACAACGTGCTCTGCACGTGAACAGTGGAGCACGGATTGGTGGGAGAGCACTATAAAGGGGGAGAGAGACAGCACAGGAGGAGAGTTCATTGGGGAGTTCGTTGGTTCGTTTGCTCCTTTTTTCTTCTCTTTACTTGCTCTTGCTTTACTGTAATAAAAACCCTACTGAAGGGGGATCAACAGCGACCGGTGTGCCTCCTCGGTGGGTGGGGGAGCAACAACTAGAGGAAGTATATCTACTTATCTTTGTGAGATGTTGCATAATTAGTTGATCAAAGTTACATGGAATGTTTTTTCTTTTTTCTGTTTAAATCCTTGTATTTTAGTTATGCAAAGGTACCTAAAAT